CCCGGTCTCTTCCACACTCCCTTAGCTTTCCCTCACTGTCTCTCTCTCTTTATCTATCTATCTATCTACCCCCCCCCCTCCTTCCACACTTGTTGCTGTTTGGATGCATAACCACAGTGTACAATGAGCCATTATAGCCATACTGCAAATAGTTCAATAACCTACAGCCCTTTTTGCGTCCTCTAATTGTTACGCTTTATTGTCTAGAAAACGCCAATCGTTTTTCGTGACTCTGTTGGTCAAAATGATATTTCAGTGTTTGCCATTTTCAACTCTTTTTCAGATGCTTTATCATTGACATTCAATTTGTCTTAATTTTGCCCATCATTCTGAGCTTTATTGTTTTTTAAGTCCTGTCCATTTTTAGACGTTTGTTGAGTACTATTAACATCTTGCTCAATGATTCTTAAAATGATTAATTCTATTTTCTGTCCCTGCATCCTCAGACAAACGAAAGCGAGAAAGACGCGATGCGAACAGTCTCTGTAATGTGACCGCGTGGGAGACACAAGCTGCTCTCGTTACAGGATTCTTGACCCTGCTTTCTGAGCTGCTTTCTGAGCTTGGCATCTTTAAGAAGGGAAAACCAAGTCTGGATTTATTTTAGTTCAAGGATACACGACGTGTGCAGACAAGCACCGACGAGCCGCGAGTGGAGCATAATTCGCAGAGGCCACAGTTCTCGCACTACTTTCTTGTCTGTAAAAGCCACTGTCATGGAACCGAGACATGGATGTATTTCACTTAACTGTTGGACACGTGTTCATACGACAAAGTGATACTTAGACGTGGGTCTTTTAAAGAGTGAGCATTTGATCATGTTATTTATATTTTACTTTTTGGGGATGGAGTTCATTTCGTTTCATTGTGTAGACTTAAATATAAAATTGCCATAGCGTAGAAATTAGTGTGCTAAGCAATGTGGGGTAACACAGATAATTTTATACTTGTGCTTAATTCCAACAGATCGATAGGCACAAGTGCTTTCTTTGTCTTCTGAACACTTTTGTTTGGCTCGTAGCAAGCTGGTGTAATATTGGAAGCATGTCTGCCTGCTTTCATCCCTGGAATCAAAGTAAAAGAGGACGCGCATTCGCCACAGGAGCATTATTGGCTTCAGCGTATCCTGTTTCAGTTGCAATGTGTGTATGTGGGTCTGTCTTTATGTGTAGGTGTGTAGATGTGTTTTAATTTATTTGATTCTCACTTAAGCTAAACATGCACCCGGAAGACAGGGAAACAGCGACCGTGCTGAGCGAATATCTTGTCTTGATTGTTTTGAGCATTGCATCGATATTTGATGCTTTTGGCGTGTTTGTGCAGCTTACCGATTAAGTTAGAATGATGAACGAAAATAGACCCTCAATTTGCTTGGGGCTTTGCTGGTAGCATAAAAATAATTAATTCTACCAAAAAAAAAAATTCTGGCGTCAGTCCTTACTACGACGTCAAAGTCGTCGGTGTTCCTTTGGGCAGCCAACGTAAGCTTGGTGCGTTTCCTTTTGTGGATTGGATTCTAAGCTCATTAGCCTTTTTAAGACCATTTCATGCATTGCCTTGTTCCTGTAACTCGCATAACACACTGCACCAGTTATCATGACCGAACGGAATACAAAAAGGCTTCTGGTAAAATGATGAGGAAAATAAATTGACTTTAGGGAGTCACCGAGACATCACTGCTGCTGCCTTATGTTAAGCACGTTTAAGTGATGAGCTTTAAAGTCCCAGAGAGATAGAGATGTATAACTCGAGAGAGCAATGTTTTTGGGGTCTGCCTATTTGAGATGGAAAGCTTGTCTGAATTATATTACTTAAAGAAGGCTGCAATAAAGTTTCTTGCTAAGGGGGGGATCTTCGAAAGAAATGTCACAGTTCAATCTAAATCTGGTTTAGTGAAAGTGGACAATATATTATCTTCTATATTATAGGTGATTTTAAGAGTAATAAAGTTACGACCCAATTACTACTGACTCCAGAGACCTCTGAGCACTTATTTGTCCTCAATTTCCGAAAGGCAAACGATGTCGCTTAATTGCTCATTTGCCTTGCCAAAATCCGCCCGACTTCTGATCTTTGGATGATGAGCAATATTCTAGTAGAGTGTGAATAGGCCATATGAAGTAATATATATATAAATATATATATATATATATATATATATATATATATATATATATATATATATATATATATATATATATATATATATATATATATATATATATATAAGCCTATTTTTTCATCATCCGTCATCTAGCTTATTGTGTTTCTGAAGGTTACGTTATTGACTCAAGCCTTCAACCTCAAACTGATATTTTCTTACCTCACACATTGCGACTGTAGCACGTGACTATAGCCATGTCAGGCTCAGCGGCCACCAACATCTTCAACAGCAGCATGTCGGCCGACCTGGCAGCGTCCTCTGACGTGAGTTCCGAGGCGGAGGAGAACTACCCGATGGTGGACCCGACGGTAGACACGACTTTCACAATCCTCCGCATATGTCTCTCCGTCTTCGGCGTCCTCGCCAACATGGTCACGGGAGTTGTGCTCACCAACAAACGGCTGTGGTCTCCGACATCGCTGCTGCTGCTGTCGCTGGTGGCGTATGATGCCATCTTTCTGCTGGTGTCCATTCCTATGTCCGTGTGGGGTGTGTTGGTCGTCAGGGACCTACGGACCTTTGCCCTGGTCACTGGGATTTTTTACCCTCTGAGGTACATGGCGCAGACAGGCTCCATCTACACCACAGGTGAGACGCTCTACGTAAACGTGATTACTACTGTTTTGTGTTGCTTTTAATGTTTCTTACTTTTTCCCTTTGTCTTGAGAGAACCTTAGTCTTGAGAGCCAAAGAGAAGAAATGGTGAGAGAATCAGGGATATATATATATATATATATATATATATATATATATATATATATATATATATATATATATATATATATATATATATACATATAGATAGATAGATAGATAGATAGATAGATAGATAGATAGATAGATAGATAGATAGATAGATAGATAGATAGATAGATAGATAGATAGATAGATAGATAGATGGATAGATAGATGGATAGATAGATAGATAGATAGATAGATAGATAGATAGATAGATAGATAGATAGATAGATAGATAGATAGATAGATAGATAGATAGATAGATAGATAGATAGATAGATAGATAGATAGATAAATAGAAGAATATGTACATAGATAGATTCTTTAAACGAACATTGATTTTTGGCTCAACCGAATAAATTGATTTGGGCTTCATTTATACGCTCAAGTAAACTTCATTACATAGACATCAAGTTACATATCTTTTGGTATATGTGGTATTTAGATAGAGTACGGGTGCATGACGTGCTTCTGGAGAAAATGATCTCGTTTCGGCATTAACTAAGGTCAAAAGGTTAAAGCGGCAACAAAAGTTACTCATGACTATCAATCTATTGTGAAATGTACCTTCACCCCAACAGCAGTAGTTGGTGTAACGAACATTGTCTCGTAGCCCAAAAGAGCACGACGAGAAAAATGTTTTTATCTAATTTTGGTGTTTTTACGCCCACACTGACACAATACAAAACCGTTGGCTAACGGTCTTATCGGCGAGTTGTGGACAACGAATAAATATGAACCATCTTCCTCAATACAACACATTATTTTGGCATACTTTTCTTACTTTCCTAGTCCTCAATTCAGCACGTATTTTGTTGTAGTGCGATACTTGACTTATAGACACTGCTCATTTCAATACGACCTTTCCTCCCTACTTTCACCAGTGACACTTCGCTGGCTCCGAAGAACCGCAAGTAAGCTTACTCATGTGAACTAAATTAGTAGCACTTTAACATCTGCTTGAATTTGGACACTCACCAGAGCAGCTATTTGCATAAAGTAATGTTGACCTCAAATGGTTCTCAGTTTATTCAAGGTCCGAAAGAAATCGAATTGTCACTGGACTTTTGCCAATTAGGAAATAACACTCTTGGGAGAATCTTAATATTTTGTTTTCTTGCGTTTATCACTCTTGCTTAAGAGGACAATGAACCTGGGTTGCCCAGATATATGTCTTTTGTGGTGACGAATTTACTTCACCTCAAAAAAATAATTTTTACAAGGGTCTGACCTGGTCAGGACATTATGAAAGTTTCATAGTAGCAATATGTACACAGGGAGCACGAGGCAGGGGTAGGCCACGGGAAACATAGAGGAGATGTGTGGAAAGGGACATAAGAGAGATGAAGCTCACGTGGAACGAGCTAAGAAGGATAGCTCAGGACAGAGATAAATGGAAGCAGCTTGTGTGTGGCCTATACCCTGCCAGGGGTGAAAGGCACTGATGAATAAATAGCTACATTAGTCTGCATGATATATTTTAATGTGCCATTTCTATATTCAGAAGAAGTAACATTATAATATACAGAAACGATCGTGACACCTGAATCTACTCTTAACTCCTCTTAACGTCAATCTACGTTAAAAGTTTCTCCTTCGATTTTATACGCTCAATTGTATTTTTAATAATTCTTGCCACGACGTTATTTTCTAAAAGCTGGCATTGTATACAATGTGATTTTTCACAATCGTTTGTGTGGTATCATTATCACACAATTATCTTGTGAAATATTCAAAATGCCCAGAAACTCCTGAAAATTATTCACGTCAAATCTGTAAATGTGTCCCACTGGAAGGTTTGCACCTCCCCGTATTTGTTCTCTTGGCTGGAAGGGCATTTCACTTTTATGTCATCCAGTGGAAATACAACGTTGTAGACACTTAGACTAAAGCAGCCAGCATCCGATGTTTTATTACGCTTTTGTCTAAATTTTTTTCTTTAGTTTGGCCAACATTTTACGGCACTACCAACTGCACACGGTCATATGAAGGTGCTGTTGTCTATTTCCATGTGAAGAGATTAAAAAGACCTGAAAAAAACATGAAGACTGAATTCATACTTAGCCCATAATTCAACCAAAACTGATGGGTTCACACACGAAAACCTTTGCCTGTCACCATTCCCCGTCACCCCACGCA